TTTTGGCTGGAATACATATGTTCGTACATGGAAGGTTTAGCAAATCTCGAGTATCAATATTGGTCCAAAGTGGTTAAAGAACACGACAAATTTCTTAAACCACAAATCCTATAATAATATTGCGAACATGATGTTAAGCTTCGGACATTTAACCTGTTGTGCATTGGAATAGAGTGGTGGTCAAATGTTTTTGTACCACATGTAGCGTGCTTTTATCCAGCATCATTGGACATTTCAAAAACATTTCGTATTTGCAAAATACACTTTGGCCATATCAATCTAAAATTGGGGTACATAAAACAACAGTAAATAGGACAGATGTCAAAGGAACCCTGTCCAGAGAAGAATGGTTTGGCCTGCTGCTTGCAACTCTAGATATCTCTCAACAAAAGTCAAGAAAAAAAAAACATCTCTGATCGACAGTATACACTTGCTATGATCACATTATTATAGTCTGTGGAATGTTTCCGATTGTCTTAATCGTTCTGTCCTACGGTCTGGTCTGTATAATTGATTCAATTTCTGAACTAGAGTTAGCATTGATATCGCACTGCTGGTGGTATAAAAACTTGTTTCTGTAAACTTGTCTTTGTAATAAATGAATAAAGTTTTAATCCTCGTAAAGGTTTAAAGTGGTTGTATGAAAAGTTTGCCTTACAAAGCCTTTACTTGAATATATTGTTTTATAGTGTTTTATCCCTTGCCTTTGTTATAGCTTTTTTTATTTCAATATATGCAAGCATATGAAAAAAAACATAAATCCATTTCAAAGAGAGACGAAAGATACCAGAGTGACATTTCAACTCATAAGTCAAAAATAAACTGACAACGCAATGACCAATGAAAAAAACACACCCACAGACAAACCATAGAACACAAAACACAACCTTTGATATCCGTGACTTCGATTTCTTGACTTAAACCGGCTGCTATTTTATCTGTATGTCTCTAAGAAACATTAGAGGCAACAGCAATTTACCGATGTTCATTTTTGCAAACAAAAAATTCCAAGAACTTCAAAAATAGTTCAGATCGATTGCGTCACCAGCATGCATCACGTGCCATGCGAATCAAAACTATCAACATTTTACAAACAGGAATGGGACACAAGTCAAATGTCAAATTTTCAGATCTGATCTGATACTCAGTATCTAAAGATCTCCAACCGCGAAAAGATGCTGCTAGTGAGTTGAGACACGGCAGAGCTTGAAGGGAACATTATTATTCGTGATGGTGACCATAAGAACTTATTTTGTGTCTTTTTCAGTCGCCGGTTCTTCCTCAAAAGTCAGTGCGTATCACCAAATCTGCATTTTCACGTTCGACACTCAGATGTCAAATGTGGAGCAGAATCTGCTACACCTTCCGGGGGCACCCGAGATAACCCCCGGTTTTCAGTAAGGTTCGTGATGATCTTTAGTTTTCTATGTAGTGTTTTGCAGAATTTTATTTGTCTTTACGACGTTCTTCGACTTTTGCCATGACGTTGTGATATTGTCGTCGACTAATAAGTATAGATTATCGGGTTTTCTACACATTGCTATCGTTAGATATCAGCCGCTAGCCACAATGTGAACTCTTTTGGCGAGTGAGCGCAGCGAACGAGCTAAAAAGCTTCACATTGTGTCGAGCGGCTGATATTTTACGATATCTATATACGAAGAAAACCCGATTATCTGTTTATCGTTCTATTACTGGTCTTTTTCTCCTCCCTAGATAACTTCTCCTCAGACATTGTGACGTCGCTGATAATGCCTGCTCTCGTCTCAAAGCCGTGATACGAGAATAACGGGCGACTGAGCAGGGTGATATAGGCGAAGGGAAGGGCAATAAGTTTGAGTATCCCTTTGAAATCTGCGGCCATTTTTAAGCAGTTAAATGTTAGGAGTACCCCTGTTCATTAAGTCACTGACTCAACATGGACGTGCGTAAGACATCAATTGACATATGTAAACACCATACGATGGCGCAAAAGATATAGTACAATTGGAAAGTTAAAATTGTCATCAAAAGTTTGTCATAGATTTGGTTTGAAGTCGTCAAGCTGTGTCAATATCAAAGAAAAGGTCAAGATATGAAGCAGACATTCTAGTTTCTGTAGTATCCTTTATCACTAGCTCACTGGGGTACCGGTCACTGGGGTATATGAATTTAAGTACTGACTGACATGTGGATTATAGAGAGACAGGAAATTTTCAATATATCTGAATTTGAAATCAAAGAACTAAGCAAAATGGTTTTCTTTAGGTCTTTGAAAAGGTTCTGCATTTCCAATTGCAGTATGGACTGTAAACACTGTTATGTTATGTTGACTTGTGCATCATTAGTGTCCACTTTTATAATAAACAATTTCCAAACGAATTATCAATTCACAATCATCCGCGCACTTTCGGGCAAATTTCAACATTACACCTATCGACTATCAAAATACCGCGGTTGATTGTAAGTGAAATAAAACAATTATCCTACTTCTGCTTTTATGAAAATAGCACTATTTAAAGGATTAAACTTAATGTTTGCTTCTTTGAAATGTTAAAGCCAATTTTCAACGGACTTCCCAGTTTTGTCATCTTTGGGGATTTTGTCGGATCCCCATTTCTTAAAAAAACAACCGAAAAACGCATTTTGCCTCTTATATAAATAAAACTATATAAACACAACCTCAAAAATAAATTACAGACACCCAAATAAATCAACGAAACAATAAAACATCGACATAAACAAGTAATATCAAGTCCTTAATTTTGGAGGAAACTATGTATTCAGCCCAATCAGGGACGGGGCACAACTTTCCGGAATTTTTTTAAAGATAATAATTGAATAGTAGAAATTTTTGAAAGTTTAAAAAATATCGTTTTAAAAAATCTTACCTTATAAAAACTTGTGTATATGAAAAGAAAAATTGCAGTTTTATTAATTTTTAGTAGTTACGATATAATTCATTCATTAGCGCTTTATTGTATGATGTTGGAATACGGTGAAAGACAAAATGTCCCCGTTTACAGTGATTTGTACCTTCATAATTTGTTATCAAAAGGCTTTTACGATTATCTTTTTCACATAATGAATAAAGCATTATATGTTTTGTTTGAACAAATCAAAAAAAGACATATATTTGAATGCAGCCTTTGAATAAAAAGCCAAACTGTATGCCACTCATGATCTGCATTTGGAGTCAAATTTGCTAGCTAAACGCTAAAATCATACGACTTTTTGACGACCAATCTTTAATTCAAGTAAAATCATTTTTCTAGGACTGTGCAAATTTTTAGCCGTGTATTATGAAGTGAAATTAAACTCTTTTAATATTCGACTTTTTCCTATTCCGTCACCGCACTAAAAGCTCATATATTTAAGAATAGAAGCGTCGATGCTAATTCAGATCAGGCAAGAGGAGGTCTGTATTCGGAACTCTTCGAATTTTCGACAGCGAATTGAACACGGAGCATTCACATAGATATGGCGGGAGATCCAGCATGACGAAGCCTACAAAGTCGTTCCTACTGCAGACGAAGCGGAGCATGATATATACGCTCATGAAGTTAGAACAAACACAAACTTCACAATTTACCGAAGAAATAAGGGGTTTTCTTCGACTGACACAATTAGTTGGTACAATGTTTCGTAGTACGCAGATAAAAGGGGGAGGTTTACTGAGACTAAACATTATCAAGTGGTTGTCTGGAAATATTGAAAAAATGTGTGAATACAGTGGCGGATCAGCCATTTTAAAAAGGGGGATTCCAACCATTCAAATGCATTGATCGTCATGAAAAGGGGGGGGGGGGGGGTCCCAACCCCCAGAACTCTCCCCATGGATCTGCCACTGGAATATCACGGCCTTCTACAAAATCATTAACCAGCGTTAACCTTTCTCCGGGGTAATCCTTTTTCGGTTCTGTCCGGAGCGATTTTCTTATTTGCCCATGAAATCCTAAGGACTGAGATGAAGTGGCCTATTTCCAGTTATTTGTTTGCACTTAAAAGATAAATATTTTATGTTATTCATTTCAGTATTTCTTCTTCAAGTGCTGAATCTCTCTGGTTACTACTTATGTGTTGCATATAATGTAATTTGTAACACTTCTTAGTAACTGGACAGGTGAAAAATAGTCATCACCAGTGGAGACGGGGAGGTCTGAAAACAAGATTACATTCCAGGACTAAAACCAGATCATTTAACATTGGAAAATTGATAAGGACAATTCATGTGCAGGATTTTTTTTATGGCAGTGGCCAAATTGCCATGACTTCTCCAAAACTGTTGAAAAAATGCAGATTGCTTAATATGTTTATCTTTCAGATATTTTCAGGTTTGCCCCATACATGGAATCTAGATAGAACTAATGATAGAATAAGGGATTTTAACATTTAAGGCCCCCAAAAAATATACGTCTGTTATAGGTTACATCATAAAAAAAAATTGTTTGTTCCCCTGCACTCTTTTCATTCATAAATTGTTTTAAAGATTAAAAAAAAGGGTTTTGTTTTAGTTATTGGCCTTGGATAGATAAAATATGTGCAACAATGGAACTGTTCTTTTATTAATAATTGGTTTATTTCCCTTGGTTATTGGTTTTGGGAAAAAAGATAGCAAAGTGATTATTTCACCGCATAAGTCACATGTTTCCTTAAAACAGCTGTCATATTCACTATGAACATTTGGATGTATCTGTTGAAAAAAACAAATATTTAAACTCACAACAATGAAACTTATAAGCAAACAACCAGGTTTCGGCAATGAAACACCACTCCTTTATGAGAATACTTTATATCTAATACATGTATTAACCAATTGTTTACTATGTGATACCAAATGGTGAAATTTCTAATTGCAGTTTATTAACTTGCGTTATTTATTAGTTTATTTGCATTTAATATTTTATCATTTTCTCTACTGTTACTTTTTTACTGTCTTTTTTATGTGATAACTCAGTATGAAAATCCTATGACCAACAAGACAAAAGAGTTTTACATTAAGAGAATAATTAAAAATGAGAATGTATTATTTCAATACTGAAACCATTGATCTTGTTTTAACAGATTACAAAGCACATAAAATTTGGTGGGAAGATGGAAAAGCTGATGACAGATGTAAAATAGATACCAATGGCTGTCCTTACATTATTCTGGGATATGATGTTAGAGAATGTCAGCATGGTCCTGACCGAAACATCAAAAAGAAGATCCAATATAAGGCGGAAAAAGTATTTAACCTAAACAAGGATTTGTATAGTAATCTTACTGTACAAATTCTTGACTTAAACAATATTACATGTGTATTTGCGATTTACACATATATTACATTGTACCATTAACTATATTTCAAATGATAAGCATGATAAGGTAGCAATTTCAAAATTATTAGAGAGTTTTTTGCCATTACTGACAATTCCTATCTGGTACCCGAAACCAGTAAAAGTCATTTTAAATAAAGAAACAACAAGCATGATCTTCTTAAACCATTCTTTATAAACTTGTTTGATAAATCGCTATTGCACCAGCTACTTCCGAAAGTGTTAATAGGTTTTTGGGTGAAGATTGCATGAAATGGTTGTGGTTGTCTTACAATTGGTCCAAGTTGTCTTGGCCAGACTTGTCTTTGGTCTAAGTTCTCATGTATTCACCTTTAATATGCATATTACAGTATGTATTGTGTATCAACCAAAAGTGAAATATCACAGTTCATATAGTTTTTCAAAATTCCCTTTATTAAACCAATAGTATTTGCTAAAATAATTATATTGTATTTTATGGGAACATCAATAGTGGTATGTTAATGTCATTTTGTTTTGCAGGAAGAAAAGTCGAAAACTGACCATAGCTATGTTATGAAAGGCAGGACTCTGATTCAAAACACTAAAAAGATGATATGTCCTGCCAGGATAACCCAGAGACGCATTATTAAATTTCCAGGATACAGGGTTTGGTTTTTTTTATTTACAATTTTATACTGGGACATATTATGGTATACTATTGTCTGTCTGTTCAACAATAACTCAAAAACGCTTTAACCAATTTGTATGAAACTTTGCTGAATTGTTTATATCATTTGATTTTTATAAATTTTAGATTTTATATGTTGATTTTTATAAATTTTAGATTATATGTGTCAGAGTTATTGGGTGTTATTCATTAAAAGAAGGTGATTTTCCATTTTTCTTACAATAACTCATAAATGCTTTAAGTAGTTTTCATGAAACTTTGGTGACTGGTTTAAACTTTTAAAATAATCTCACTTTAGTTTTTTTATGCCATCGCGTATGGCCATCTTTGTGACGTAGATCAGAGACTCCGCCCAGATCAAGCAAATTTTTTTTGTTTAACAGGCTCCTGGTCTGTCATTCTTAAACACCTATGTATGTTTTCTAATGCAATACATTGGTTGAAACTGTTGAAAAACATTAGTGAATTGAAGAAGTTTCAACATATGTTTTTGTAGATGTATTTTTGTATTTAAGGGGACAACTGTTTGACTATCAAATAACATAGAAGTCAGAGTGAAAAAAAGTGCATTTTTATACCTGCGATTCCATTCTCCGTTCGTGTGATGTTTCAACAAAATATGGAATCATTTCAGTTGTTGATTTAGTATTGAAAATTTTACTGAATTATCTCTTATTAAATATGGTTTTGTGTGTGTAGTTCGTGTTTCTTTTAGAAAGAGGTCAGGTGCTCTTGTTCATTCATAAAATTATCGTTCATTCATAAATTTATCGTAAAATCAAAATCACTACACAGGTTATAGTAATGTAATCTTATCTCACATTTCTGATTTAATTAAAAGTAGCAGAGTTTACACGTTCTAATAACTCTTGACATATTTTAATACTTCCATGATGTATCGGGCCCTTCTATTCTAATTGGTGTTGATACTGATAGACTCCGTGCTGTAATAAATCCATTTTATCGACAGTGTAAAATGATTACCTGTAATCTAAAAATAGAAAAAAATAAACTGACCTATTTTGTTAATTTGTTTGCGCAAATAATTTAGTGGAACGAAACCTTTGTTAAAAACACATAACAATAAGTTAGTTTTCCTTTTTTGTCATAACTCTGTAAGATTTATCCATCACCTTATTAATGAAATGGACCCATCTAAACATGATAGACGCCAAGTCAAGATGAAGAGATATTCACAATTTGGTATTTTCTTGTTTCATAGATTGAAAAAAAGTACGTCCTTTTGGATATCAAAACGGGGAATGCATGACAAATGTTGAAATAATTATCCTCGTCTTTCCAGTGGACAAGTCTACTACGTTTGTTGACACTCGACGGTCCACATGGTCCACCGTGTTGGCAATTTTATTTCACATGTTTTCGAAATATTGAAGATCATTTTTCGCAATTTTTCCTGAAAATTTATAAATATCAATGCAACGTGGAGCTGTTTTTTTCTGGTTCGTAAATTGACGATTTAATGTCATGTTTGTCTGTGATACCCTCTTTTCGGAATTGCACGAGGATGGCACATATCAACTGAGCAATAATGTTTGGGACTTAGATTTAAGAAATGATGACAAAGTAACATTAGGAAAATATTTTTAGTATGCTGAAATATATATTTCTTTTTTACATGTTTAATGTCTTGTAAGATATTATTTTTCTTTCCCCTTTTTTAACATTTGCGTCTGGAAAGTTGAAATGTTTAACTGAATGGTTAAATTTAAATCAATTATGAAAATTCTTAAAATTAAATCAATAAAGGAAATTATTGCTCAGTTACAAACACTACCAGGGGATAATCCATAATGATTTCTTCGTTGGGTTATATGTTTCAGCACATGTATTTGCCTCCAACTTTAGCCTGGTAAACGTATCATCTCCTTGTGAAATGTAAAACATATTAAAAATGACTTTCTGCTAAAGTTTTTTATTGATATAAAGTTAAAACATTCTTACTTCTCACAAGACTCCTGTCAGGTTTATTCTCATTCTTATACATGTGGATGAAAAATAAAAGTCACAAAAACATTAACTTGGGAGCAATTGCTTTTACAGCCTTTAAGGCTTTGATAAATTTTTGATATGACATTGAGTAATTATAGACCTTTATTCTTTGAAAAAGTGACAGGCATAGTATTCCATACCTTATAGTGTAATGGAACAAAAAATCAAGGCTTTCTAAAATTTGGAATCAACCCAATGTGAGCATGCTATACCATGTGATAAGTTTCATCAACTTCCTGTTTAACAATAATAACAGGGAGGTATTTTCGGTAATCAATTACACATTAACTTGTTTTTACTATTTTTATTAACGTACAGAACATGTACACAATTACCCTTTGATTCATCAATTGTAATCGTTTGTAGGATACTGCTATTTAAAGATGTTTGCTACTCTGTTTCAAAATAACAAGGTTTTCTAAAAGACTGTTATAAATTGATAGTAGATAAATAAAGGAATAAGAGCAGCGACCATCCTTAATTATTTATAGAAAACTGAATGGTTTTTAAAGTTAATTTAGAAATTGGTAAGTAAAAGGTTTTATTCTATTTTATCAATCAAAGGAGAAATGCTCAATTGCTTTCTTTATTTATCAGTTAGAAAATAGTGCAAGTAAGTGGAGAAGGAAGCAGACTGCAAAGACTCTTCGCAAAGCTTTGGAAGAAGAAATCCACATGTATTATCCAACTGTAGATGACCATAAAAACCATATAATAGGAGAGGTATCAAAGTTGAACAGTTTAATAGTTTGATATTTTGTTAGCTCAACTAGACATTTTAATGCCTCTAGCTACTTATTTTCTAGTTTTATTCCTTGGTTAAACTTGTATATATATTGAAACTGTTAAGTTTACACTATATCCCAGTAGACAGACCTATATATATATATGCCAAACATATCAATTCATTCCTACTTGTATTCTTTGCTCCATTTATGGTATTAGAGGAGCATTAAGTTTTTATGTCTATGGGTCCATCAGTCTGTCAACATGCAACTTAGTACATATTTACTTTATTAAGTGAACCTTTCAATAAATTTCATGGTTCAGTGAAAATAGAAAAAGGATGGTGCAAGCATGTTTTTTTTATCATAATTCTTTTTGTAATATTTAGTGGTTATTATTTTGAATTCAAATACATTTATACTTTTTACAGTTTGCTGGACTGTGTCAACCAGTTGGACCAGAAGTTAAGGCAAAAATTAGACAACTGGTTGGAGATGGAGTGACAAAAGTCTCAGAGATGAAGAGACATTTAAAAGTCTTTGTTAAATAAGAACTACAAATTGAGGACCAGACCATACCCAGCCGTCGGTTTCATCCAACGGACAAAGACATCAGGAACCATATGGATACAACCAAAAACAAATTCAGGTATAGATTTCTTTAGGTTTATCAATGTTTTGAATCGAGCTTAAAATTAATTTTAAATGTATGAACTTAGCAAATCATTCTAAATTTCGGCAAAATGTTGTAAACATATTTAATTAAAGAAATCGTTAAAATATATATAGCAAAGGAAGGGGGTGAAAGGTGTTTTTAGAGAAAATGAGAATGTTATTAAAGAATGAAATAATATTTCTTTATATAGGGGAGGAGTGAATAATTATAATTATTTGATTGTGGATGTGAATCAATTGCTACTTATAATAAAATTTTGCACAGCTTTGAATATCAGTATATTTTGTTCTACTGTGAGTGTATCGGAGCAAAAAAGTAAGACATTAGTGGACATTCTGATTGGAATCTGTGAATGTGTCTTTGGCGAGGTACATTGAATATTTTGCATTTTAATAACAGTGTTCTGTTGTTTCAGGGTCTCCACAAACACACTTCGGGGATTTTAACAAGTTTCTGTCATAGAGGTGTTTGTTGAGTCCACTACAGTTCATTCTTATTCTCGCATGATATATTTGACCAGACCTGGAACCACAGTAATAAAATACAGGCTTAATTTCACAGTTACTTTTAAAATTATTTTTGGAGGCGAGAAGGGACGGACTATTTTGTAGTTCAATAGTCTGCGAATTCCAGGATTTTACTGTTGATGAGAGAAAATAGTTCGAGTATAATGTTGTTCTAGCTGCAATAGGTTGAAAATCATTCCCATTACGCGTATTATATTCATGTATATTACGGAATCGTTCAGGTAAAATATTATTAAGATAAGATGGAGTAATATTGTTAGACATGTTGTACAAATATGTAAGTCTGTGGGCCTCTTGTCTATCCTTTAATTTTTCCCATCCCGTTTCCTTATAAAGTAAATAAATAGATGTTAACAGTGTTCCTCCAGTCACAATCCTTGCAGCCTCTATTTGGACACTTTCTATTTTGTGAACAAAAAACAATGTAGATGTATCCCAAACCACATCAGCATATTCAAGAACTGGCCTTATATAAAGAAAAAAGTGTTCTAAAGTTTTTCTGTTTAAAATAAGTTTGTTACTTCAAAAGAAGGTGATGAAAGTTGCCTTCAGTAAATTTTTAATCCATTTATTGCATTAAAAACGTCATATTCCTTTCTGATGCCTGTCGAGCATTGTTTATTTATGTAAATTTTCTCTGTCCGCCAGCTACTACGGTAATCTGTATTTTTATGATAATGACTACGGACAAAAGAATGGCACAGCTGACAGAAGAATATTTATCCAAAAAGGAAAAATTACGCATTCCCTACACATTAACAGAGTTTTGATTAGATCTACTTGATTAATGTATATATATCCATGTATATGCATTGTTTAAATTTATTGATTAAAGTTGCTTAATTTATAGGGACTATTATACCAATATCAATATATTATGGCCCAGTTTAACTTTTGTTAAATTTATAAATCTTTTAGTCAGAAACACTCCATTTCATTAACATGATTAACAGAATAGTTTTTTAATTGAATTTTTATTGATATATTATACTTTCTTTTCCTTTTTGATATTAAAAAAAAATCTTTTAGTGCTAGATATTTAGTTGGTAATTTCTCATAAGAGGACTTATATAATTGTGCTCCCAGAAACGATAAACTTAAAACAACTTTGAATTTGAAATGTTACTTTAATTGTATACTCAGATATGAATTGAACAATATAAAAAGAAAATAAGATAGATTCATACATATGGTCCTTATATTATACAATGTAGTAAAACCAAACATTGTAGCATCCCAAGCGAAAGAGCACTTCTCTTTCAAATCTCACCACTTCTCCCTATCAGTTTGAAATAGAGAAGTCACCTCTACCTATGATTCTGAAGTAGTGTGTGCCCTGAATGATACATATATTTTTGTATATGTTTTCTTTACCTGCAGATTTTCCAAAGACGATCAGACTAATCTTGAACATTTAGTTAAAGGATGGACGAAGACATTTCCAGATGATAATTTTTATTTAAGAACATGCTTACAGTGAGTACTTTGGAAATACAACATAAAAGAATAGATTTGATTTTAGATAAATTTTATGATGTCTGAGCAATAAGTCCTTTATGTTTGTTTTTTTTGCTCACACATTGTTGTCAACATAATGGAATTCAATGCGACTGTCAAGCAAGTGATTGGTTTAGCTAGCTATAAAACCAGGTTTAATCAACCATTTTTCTAAATGAGGAAATGCCTGTACAAATTCAGGAATATGACAGTTGTTTTTCATTCATTTGATGTGATTAAGATTTTGATTTTGCCATTTTATAAAGGACTTTCTGTTTTGAATTTTCCTTGGAGTTCAGTATATTTGTTATTTCACTTTTTTCATTATAAGCTATTTCTATTTCCATTTCTTAACTTGGTCTATGTTTGCCTGTTATCAGGGGTCGAATTTAATCTTTTTTGTGAACCGGCCGACCGGACTAGTGGACTGAAAAATCTACTGGTCCGGCTCCAAATCTACTGGTCCTGCAAAAATGACATTCGTTTGACCAACATTAAATTATATAAATGATAGATGTTTACTTTTATTTTCATGCTTTCTTTTACATATGTTAGACAAAAAATGCTTTCCTCTCCTTTATTCCTGTAGAATTTTGGGGCTGTTCTGGTTGTTCATGAGCAAGTACAGAATCTGAACTTAAAATTTGAAGATCCTGTTACAAAAATACTTTTCTCATCTTCTTCTTCCATTAACACCCATATATCACAACCACAAATAATAATCATACTAATAAATAACAAAAAAGAGTTAAGTGCAATACCACACGACAGAGCCGAGGGCTGGTTAAATAAACAACCATTTAATAATAGTTATCATATACAAATTATGAATCAGCTCGAAATGTCATCATATATATATTTCAATGAACATAATAGTTTGTAAATCAATCAATCTCTTAATGCATGATACAAAATATCAAATAGCATGGATATAAAAATTAACGTGACCTATTGAGTAGACCATGTCGTGCCGAATGATTTAACCGCCAAATCACACAAAATACTTTTACCTAAAACGCCATCTATGGGCAGACAATTCAGAAGAAAATAATTTCATTCTAATTCATAAAATCAACCGACTGAAATTATATTAGGTCTGTCACTGCAAAGTTTTCACAGGTTATACAATTCATTACAATGCAATCGACTATATAATTTATCCACTCACGATCTTTTTCCCAGGATTTTTGATATTCACGTTTCCTTTTGTCAATTTCATAAACTTTATTCCGGTCTTCCTTTTAAATGTCACTAATTTTATTATTCTTTTTGTCCGGCGGTTAATCTCCTTCCAAAAATTTCCACATTTTGTGTTGTTGTGAAGGACCCATACCCAAAATATTAATTAGCATGATCAATTGTAATACTAACTAGTACCATGTAATTGATTTCGCAGATAATTTTTTTATAAACAAACTGAGATTACAATGCAATCTTTGATTTTTATCGACAAATTTCTACTGGTCCACCGGAACCAGCAGCTGACAAAATCTACTGGTCTCGACCACCGGACCAGTGCTAATTTCTACCCCTGCCTGTAATTAGTAATTGTTCAATATTTAAATTTAGCTATGGCATTGTCCTTTTATTTTTGACTTATAAGTTTGAGTGTTACTTTGCTATCCTTTGCTTCTCTTTCAGCACTTAAAGAAGCTGTTTATTTTTTTTTGGGGGGAGGGCTTACTGCCAACATCTCATTACATCTGATACTATGGTCTAGGACAGACTGTGTGACTTAAGTATTTGTGTACAGACTAATGTAATTTTTATTTACTATTACAGTGGACCAGAGGATAAAACATCTGATGAAAAGTTTGTATTTGTTCACCAGAGCAGATGGCAAAAAAGACTGTTGAATTTATATGGCAAAGAAATTTGTTTGCTTGATGCAACATACAATACATCAAAGTATGATTTGCCACTGTTTTTCATTTGTGTAAACACCAATGTAGGGTATATAAATGTTGCAACATTCATAACAGCAGATGAACTTGCAGAATCTATCAAGGAAGCACTACAAAAAATCATGCAGTGGAATGAAGATTGGGACCCCCCTTACTTTATGACTGATAATGATCCCTGTGAAATATCAGCTATAGAAGAATCATTTCCAGGTAAATCTTACTGAAGCTTATTTATTTGATATCATTCGATGTATTGTCAAAAACAGTCTATTAATATAATTGGTTTAATTTAAAGATTTGTTGCACAATTTAGCTGAATACAACTTCTAATAGATTTCCACATATGAAGGAAAGTTTTATAGTTCAATAGCCATACATTGTACATGTAAATGGTTTCACAAGGATACATGCAAACCAAATAGATAGAAAGAAAATCAGCATTGAAAATATTTAAAAAAGTAAAATATTAATGAAAAAAACTGCATAAAAATTAAATGCAGTATTTATTTTTCTACTACTTGAATGTTATGGACTTCTTGTATTAAACTATGCAATACTTTGTTTGATAACATAAATTCAGTTACTAAAATGAAAAGCCCTTTAGATTAAATGTTCCATTGAAAAACACTATCACAGTACTAAGTACTAATGGAAGTTGATTTGTATTATAAACATACATAAAATTTTAATTTACAGATTCTACAGTGGTAAGAATTTCACACAATACATCTGTGTATAGACAGATCTTTATTTTGGTACTGGTTACACACTTTAAATACTCATTATGGTGCTGGATTAAAATGCCCACATTAAATGTGTGGTAGTGCAGGAGTAACCACTAAACATATATCTTCTATTCCATATTATATTCCATATTATATTTCATATAGTGTATTTTTGTTGGATATAAATTTGTCTTTTGTCAGATACTAGAATGTGTTCAAAAATTTCAGCTGAAGAATTAAAAAATCAAAAGTGTAAATAAATACTAGATGTTTGAAATATCCCTTTTTATATTTGATACATATCTTTTTGCATAGCAATAAACTATTTCCATAGAATGTAACTAAAATTTAGAGAGCAATATTCTATGCTATTGTACTGCAATCAGTATATATTTTTTTCAATTGTCATATTTATTGTCTTGGGTAATCATAGCCAGTAAATAGGTGTATAATATTGCACCAGTGCAAATATAGCTTCTAATTATCCATGTCATCAGTGACAAATAATTTCTAAAGCATTTTTTTTCAATTTAGCTAAATGTTTAAAGGCTTATTGCATGAATATTGGTGAATATTATTCTTCATAAAATATACACTTCACTAGAAAATATTCATGCAACAACCTATAATATTATATTGCTTATCTTCATGCTTCTTCTTGCAGTGTTGTATTTTATTATTATGGTGTAATGCATTTGAAGCATTCTGAACTTTATTCTTTATAGCACAAATTAATTCATTTTCACCTTTTTCATACATCACTATTTGCCACCTTTTTTATTTGTCATCCCTTTGCACAAAATGATAATACACATATTATGCCATTGTGTTAATTTCTTTACAGGTGCTAGATATGAGCATTCAATTTGTTTTTTATTAAGTTCAAGTTTTGTACGGAAATTATATTATACTATACTTTAGTTAACATTGGAGTTTTAAAAGAGTTATTTATTAAGTTGTATGCTATCAGATTTTTTAATGACATCTTGAATAATACATTAAAAAAGACAAACTTGATCACAAAATATTTAGGTACCATTTATAAGTTATTTTTAAAAGATGGTGTTGTTTTTGATTTGTCTATCTAAATTATATCAAAATATATTTTTCTGAATCAACTCAGTTTAACATTTTGTTTAGGATGTCAAGTATATTTATGTGACTTCCATAAAGAACAAGCATGGGACAGATGGTTGAAGAAACAAAAAAATGGATGCACTGAAGCAAAAGAAGAATTAAAAAAATTGTAATTTATTATATCTTATTTACATATGTACCAGTGTTTGTAATCTTTCCTATCTTGAGAATAGTTGGAAAATAGCAGTTTTAGAAATTGTGAACATTAATTTTTGGGAAAATTATATATGAAAAGTTTATATGAGCATCGTTTGGAAACCTTAATGTTTATGCACTTGAAATGAAAATTATTTGACTTATTGCCTTAAGAAAGATAAAACATGAGCTGTGGTAGGAACAAATTATAAACATAAAAGTACAAAAAATATTCAACAAACCTTCAGATTGAACTATGTTTTGATGCTTCTTTTGTAACATTGTGGAGAACCTGTTCAAATATCCAACTATTCTACATGAAGGATTTTAAGTACAAGAATCAATGCATCTTTTATGATTACTTCATTAAAATGAATGTGGGATGGTAGGAAGGAACTTCCAAATTCACTAAAAGCCAATATTATTACAATAATTTTGCACATATATATGTAAATTGACTTACAGTCATAAATGACTAATGACCCATGTTAAAAAATAAAACTTGCCATGCTACTACCCCAATTATATTTAACTGTAATATACCCTGTATATGTCATTATTTTTTTTTTTTTTTTAATACTGGATTAAAATCAGTATATGACTGCTAAATTGTCAATTTAACTCCTTTGTTTTCCTGTCTTAAGGTATTGAGTTTATATTATTGATGATTTCAAAGGTCAGTTTGTCACCTCAATTTTCCTGTCTTAGGGTATTGAGTTTTTATTATTGAGGATTTCAAAGGTCAGTTTGTCACCTCAAGGACAAAATCTACCATGAATCAGAAAATTTGAAATATATAATTGGAGGAAATTTTTGTTTTCAATTTATGGTTTGTTCCACCCACCACCTATTAGAAGAATACCCTGAACATCCTTTTCACTATAAATTATTACTCGACTTCATTTCAATTGTTGCAGATTTAGGGCATTAAGCAGTTCAACTTCATTAGATGAATACCACGAACATGTTTTAGAGCTGACTACACACCGTGTATGGCAATGTAACCAAAGGCTTAGAAATTGGTTCGAACCATGGTGGCTTGGACATCGAGAGGTAACATAGGAATATGTGAAAGCTTCATGAATTTTGGTTCCTGACTATTCTAATCACTAGCTTATATCTAGTACAATATTGGAAGTGTTTTTGTTTTGAAATAAAAGTTAGCAGTAAATATTCAGTCAGGTTCAATTTTGATTCTTAAGTCATACAAAATGTAGTTGAAATCAGCTGTGAGAAATTACTGCTGTTTTATAATATTTTTTATCCAAATATGTTTGAATTTTATAATGCAAAAACTAAACAACCACAGAGACTATTTCTATTCTTTATTAATATTGACCTTTCAACAATTCTTGTCCTTATTACGAAAGTTTTATAAGTTAATACTGCTGTTTCTATAAATTGGTTTGTGTAACTCGCCAAAGCAGAAATCTATAACAGTTAAAGAAATACATTCAGCAATTGTGCAGGAAAAATTAAAATGGTGTTGAAATCTTCTTGGAGGTTTCCAAAAACATATAAGCACATTCCAAATTGGTATAGTATTATTATTTAACGAAACAATTTTAGTTTATCAATATTTGATATCATATTTCAGAGATGGGTTAGACATTTCAGAGACAATCTGTTTAACATCAGAGTCAACACTACGAATGGACTGGAAAGGCAGCATCTTAGGTTGAAAAAAGACTATTAAGCAGAGACAAGTGATACTTCTCTGTCTAGTTTGCTGTCCATAATTATTCACAGATTTTTACCAGCGAGCTATGAAAGGTTGTGTTTATATGCTTATCTGTTGGATTAAATTTGAGTAGCTAGTATTAGAAATAATTAAGATCACATCAGTTATCATCTAAAAAGCTTTTTATGTTTTTCATTTCTGCAGATTTTCTTAAACAATCTTTCAATATTTATTTTTCAGATTCTTTATTTGTTTCTGTAAACTTGGAACAAATGTTCATTGTGAGGTGAACTTTAGCATTATTTTCATTCAACAGTTGCTAAACCACTATATTAAATCATGCTTTTTCTACAGAATAAGGTTAAATTTCTGAATGACACCATCCTAAATTATTGAAGGCTATAATTTTCATTAACCATAATATCTTTATTGTAAATAAGATACACCTTCATGGATGTATGTTAAATTTATGAAATATGAAGGCTTAATAGGTTTGTTTTATAGTGCAATAGAATTATACTTGAAAAATAGTTTACATTGAAGGTTGTAATTTAATCTAATGCTTTACTTTAGGTATACAGAAAACAATGTTAGAAGTCTGGAAGGATACAGGACATATGCAGATTTCATTCCCAAATTCTTACACAACCGTCCTACTAAATTTGTAAGCCACTGCCTTGCAAGAATGCCACCATCAATTTCTGAAATTCCATTGGAAAACTTTTCGGCTGTTGGAGATTGGGAATTTATTGTTCAGAGTGTGGATTCCGATAATGTTTATACCATCAATCTGAAAAAACCAGAATGTTCTTGTATGGACTTTCAGAAGAATCACTTACCATGCAAGCACATTCTGTCAGTGATTCACACTTTTCCAAATTGAGACTGGAACAGCCTACCATCTGGCTTTAAAAATTTTCAAAATTTTATCGTTGATTCTAATATTGCAGAAGCTTGCAACACCAACCTGATACAGGAACCACACCAGAACACATCAAGGGAAAAAATCACCACAAGAAGAACTGTTAAAACTAAAGCAAGTCTCACGAAATGTCTTGAGCTAATGAAAAAAATGGAGACATCCTTATATAACATTCCACATGAAACTCTAGATAAGCTTATTCCAAAACTAGAAGGCCTGGCACTTGACATTGACCAGATTATTCCAACTGACCATGGATTGCCAGTCAGATCAGAAAAGTCAAGATATAAGTTAAACAGTAAAGGACATTCAAAGAAAAAAAAATAATAGATAAATCAGGTATGATTTTCAACCAAATCTTGTCCAATCAAAATTCCAAATAATGTTTTTTCACTGATGCCAAATGTTTGTATATTTCCTCCTGTTTTAACATATTTAATTATTTGGTATTTGTTTTATATTCTGTATAATCTGCAGTGTAACTTCTTACTGCAACAGGTAAATCTAGTACATACATTCCTATACAATTTTTATTTTCATTTTCAGTGTATGCAAATGAATTAACTGGTGTGGAGATTGATGAAATACAAGGTAAATTTGTCTTTTTTCATTGTTGATAACTCAAGTGTTGTATATATATTCAGCAATTTATTTGCACATGTCATAGCAAGCAACAGTTATCCATTTGATAATTCAAAAATTGAATCCTCATGAGATAAGAGTCAGTTAGAAATTTTATCAGGACACAAAGTTTGAATGCATTAATTAGGAGTGATTAGTGATGAGTAATAAAGAGGGTATGGTTCTATTATAAACCCTTCAATACAAAAAGAAGCGATGCCTCGTATCTTGGAGGTCATGAGTTTGAAACCTAGGCAGGTTACACATAAGACCTAGAAATTCCACAAAGAATAAAATTGAGAATGGAAATGGGGAATGTTTCAAAGAGACAACAGCAGAAGGTCACCAACAGGTCTTCAATGCAGCGAGAAATTCCCGCACCCGGAGGCGTCCTTCAGCTGGCCCCTAAACAAATATATATACTAGTTCAGTGATAATGAACGCCATACTAAACTCCAAATTGTACACAAGAAACTAAAATTAAAAATAATACAAGACAAACAAAGGCTAGAGGCTCCTGACTTGGGACAGGCGCAAAAATGCGGCGGGGTTAAACATGTTTATGAGATCTCAACCCTCCCCCTATACCTCTAGCCAATGTAGAAAAGTAAACGCATAACAATACGCACATTAAAATTCAGTTCAAGAGAAGTCCGAGTCTGATGTCAGAAGATGTAACCAAAGAAAATAAACAAAATGACAATAATACATAAATAACAACAGACTACTAGCAGTTAACTGACATGCCAGCTCCAGACTTCAATTAAACTGATTGAAAGATTATGTCTTCATCATATGAATATCAGGCACAATCCTTCCAGTTGGGGGTTTAGTATCATACCATCATAACATGCATGATTATTAAGGAGTACTAGCATAGACTCAGCAGGTCAGCTTGAAGTCAGAATAATGTGTCAGTATAGGGTAATATATCTGCCTGTGGACTGATACTTTCTAAAAAGGCACATAAGTAGTAACTATAGTACAAAGTAGGGTTTGGAATTTCAGTCCTAGAACGAGTTAAGGGGATATGGGATCAGGAGGAAGAAACTGGTTATATAGTTGCTAAAGTTTTCAACATCAATATAACGGATGGTGATATTAGATCCCTTAGAGATAAAAACTGGCCTACAGATCAGGTTAAGTATAGTTCCAAATAGATTTGAGTGCACAAGAGAAAGTTTTTTATTGGCAATTATTATAATGTACAAAAGTTGTGAGGAGAGAAATATTAATTGAATATAATAGTTACATGCTTATTAAATTTTTATGTATTGCAGGGGATTGGGAATGCTGAATTCCATCCATCAGTATGTCTGTTCAAACTATAATGCACTTTCACACCTATAGTTGCAAAAAGATTTTTATGATAATTTGATCAAACTTTATATATATAATAATACGGTGATGTGATATGAATGTCAGTGAGACAATTGTCCATCAACAATAAAAATAAGAGAATGTAACTACAGGTCCAATGACAGGCTTTAGTGAAAGAAATCAAACTGAAATAATTAGATGTGTATAACAGTAAGAGTAGTCTAATATTTCTATTTTTAATTGAATTACAACCTACAATTTTAAGGTCATGGATGCTTACCTAGGATGCCTTGCCAACTGGGAAAATGACCAGCATAGAAAAGTTTTTCGAATTCCAACAGCTGCAATGACCAAAATACTGAATGGAGAGTGTTCCATTAACACAACTTTACAAAATGTATGTACTTCATTAAAAATAAAATCTATAAGATGGGGCATACTGTTTTACCCCTGTAAATAATGATGGTTAGTTCTTCCCTACTTTACTTTATGTTTTTTCCTTCTTGTTTGATATATTTTTAACATATGTTTTACCCAACTTATAGTACCGCTTTGATATCTTATTTTTCCAAGAAGTTGTAGCAAGAAAAATCTGGAAAAATACCACATATTATACTTGAGAACTGTACTTATAAATCAAGAACAAAAGGAATTAATTTTGGTGTGAAGCCAACTTCAGATATTTGTAATTCAATAGAATGGTGATATGTCTTCAATCTAAATCTTAATCAGTAATATCTTTTCTCCACATCCAATGATAAATATCAGTGTTGAAAATCTATTTCAGTTATATTAAAGCTCTTTAGGAATCGATTTTATTTTAATTGTTCCTATTCAATCTTTGTATTTATTTTATTTGGTAATTTTGTACCTGGTGAATGATATAACAATACATGGCAATATTTGGTTTTTTTAAGGTACATCTGATGGATTATGACATTCTTCTTGGTGCTTACTATCAAGATGGAGCTCACTGGGATCTTATGGTATTCCAGAATTTTATGTTTAATTTTAAATATTTTGTACAATTTTTAAAATAGAGTCCCACTCGCTGAAATGTCTAGCCTGATTAACTGATCATTGATTTTATGTTGATAGTCCTAAATATAAGGCTTTACTACAAGTGTCACTTAAACTTATCATGATCTAAGTAAATTAGGCCAAGGTCTGATAAACCAAACAAAACACCTTACAATCATCCATGCACATAGTTGACCTATTGGTAATAGTTTCTAAGAAACAAATTTAACCAGAAAAATTTAGCATTGACTAATAAACCATGAAAATGAGGTCAAGGTCAGATAACACCTCCTAGATAGACATATGCACCTTACAATCATTCCAAACACCAAATATAGTTGACCTATTGCTTATAGTTTAAGAAAAAACAAACCAAAACACTGAGCTGAGCAATGAGCAGTGAAAATGAGGGCAATGTCATATAAAACTATTATCATGGTGCATTCCTGTCCTTCAGATATGTTAATTGAATTTATAATTTCTTCTTAAACAATTTATTTTAGATAATTGAACCTATGACTGGGAGCCTATACTTTTATAATCCCTTGGGGGAAATCGAAGGTCAAAAGAATAATATTCTGCTGAACTGGAGGTAAAGGTTTGAAAGTTTAATATCTGTTAATGTCTGATGACTTTTAATTAACTTTAATCTGGCATGTATAGTTTGCACTGGTACATAGTCCACACCACATCCCCTTCTCGCCACAAAATTTCAGGTAAAAAAAATGTAACTGTTAGAAAATGTCTAATGAAACCGGGAATTTCACAATGTGTGTGGTTGTTTGCAGTATTTTCATGGAAACCTGTTTTCAATCATCAAACAGAAGTTGAAACTGCTTGTAAATGATTCTAGAACACTTCACAATTGTTAAAATAAGTCAAATTCACACAAAATTTCTTGCTTATCGTACTCTATAGTCCGCACCAAGGCTTCCAAAACGGTCATACATTCCGGACATTTGTATACTGTCCGGTAAAAGTCCGGCTGGGCAAAGCATGAAACGGTCATCTACTTTTTAGTTTTACAAGGCTTTCTTAAGAGACGGTCATTTTAACATAATTCACGATCTTTTTGACCCAACCTTTTGCCTTTAACAGCCACACATTTCCGGTCATAAAAGTGACATGATCATTAAGTACTATCAAAACAACCCCTACTTTAATACCTTCTCATTTTAATCAAGGCTAATTAGTTGTCGAACAGCTAAAATTTACCTGTTCAGGTGACAGGTAAACTATTATGAACTGGACATTGATCGGTCTATTCAAAGTTATTTTCTTACATTTCAGCGGTTTGCATCTAATTAATTTAGTCAAAAAGATTTAAATTATCAGAAATACGTTTACAAATATGATTTGATGAAAAAATTAAAAAGGTGAAAATGAAAAATCGTCATAACCACGTTGTTTGAACCAGAGACATGTCTCTGTTTGAACTAGTACACGTGTGTGCATGTGCGCAGGTGTGAAATTTAATTATGCATCCTAATTTCTTCAAAAAATGCTTAAATTGTCATTGATACCTTTATCTCACGCTTATTTCGAATATTTTCTTGAAGAAATAACGTAGAAAGAGCTACGTACACTCATTCATGCTTTGCAAACGTACACAGAATTTACGTATCCGTCTCTGGTCCATGCTTTACCATTGTCAAGATAACATCCGGTATAAGATTTTAACGAATTCAAAGTTTTTGACAACGTTATTTTGCACAAATAAAAAGTCTAAGGCAGATATAAGTACGCTGATGTTGCACACTCTGAATGATGCACTGCCAATTTAACAGTTTACGTCAGAACTTTGAATTTGAATCAAAGAAAGTTTAATATTGTTTTTTTTTAATGTCAATCATTGCCATTGGGATGGCCAACTCAGCAACTGAATACCATAATTGCCTTTTGTTTATTTAGTCTTAAGGGATTAAAATCGGGATAATATATAAAATGTCCGGCTGGCTAAAAATAATTTTGGAAGCCCTGGTCCGCACCCCTGTCTGGCAGTTTCAATTTTGGAGAATAAAACCACAAACTATACAATTCTTTATCTGGTATAATTTTTATTGCAAATCAGAAATGTTTGGAAAATATATATTGTAGTTTTGAGATGAATGGGTTTTGTAAATTTACATAAATGTACATGAAATATTGACTCATTGTGTTCAGAAAAAAATTCTACTATTGTATCCATTTATAAACATGTACAATTTTACCTGTTTTACAGAATGTTTATAGAGAGAAGAATCATGATTGGATTAGAGATGGATAAAAACATGACTTGGAATATGATTCCCAAACAACATTCTAAACAACATGATGGAAGTAGTTGTGGTGTTTATGTCTTAATGGTATATAGCTGTATATCTTTGAATAAGTATCTCATTTTTAATCATATTAAAAACAAATTGAATCTGAATGGTTTGAGCTGGGTTGGATAGAAATCAACCTTGTGCAAATGAAATCAATACATCTGTTAACCTATTTTGGGTTGAAAATCTCTCAGGAAAGTCTAATTGTTTGAAAATTGAGTTGTCAAAAGAACCCAACAAAACAGACTTTTATTTTGTATTTGAATGTTTCAAAATAAAATCTGGTACATGTATACATGCACTTAGGTTAATTTCTATCAGATGTACCTCATTTATTAGAGTAAACATGTCTATTTAATTGATAAAAACAAACACTGTTTATAAATATAATATATGGGATTAAAAACATGCATGAGCCATATCTGTTAATTGATTAAAAGGATTCGAATTAATAAATACACACATTAGTTGCTAAGTTTACATTACACAACTGCTTTTTTTATCTAGTTTGCAGAACGCCATTTAAGAAATGAACAACTAACTGATATTGGTCCATATGAAATCAAGTTGGGTAGGAAAAGAATAGCCAATAAACTTTTATGGTTTGAAAGTATCACTATTTACATCTAACCTTAATGAATTCTGTATAATATACTTTCTTATTACCAACAATTAAAAAAAATATTTTTCTTGGTAAATTTCAGAAGTTGAGATCAACCTATCTTGAAAGTTTTAATAAGATTGTGTTCAATTATAATTTCAATAAATATTTACATGAATTTTCAATCACATTTTTGCATTACATTTGCAAAATGGGTACAAAATTGACTTACAAAAAAAATAACTATTATCAAAACACCTGACTATATTCATAATACCTAATGTTATACATGAAGAGTTTTGTCAACATTTGAGGAGGACACTAATTATCTGATCACTACTGATGTGGACTAAATTGTTGGACTACAGTTTTAAAAGGTGTCTACAAAGTAAGGAAATGTGTATAAAGCATTTGGTGTATAAGAATTTTATAAAGATTAAAATGTTGATATCAATGAAAGTAAACAAGAGACTCTTAATACAAACCCAAATGAATGTGAGGTGTATGTTGAAATAGTAAATCTGTGCTTAATAATGAAATACCAGACAGCAATATGCTACATCCATGATAAAACAATGATGTGTATTCAAATAATGATAAAAATGGACTTTTTTCAGTTTATCTATGTGATTGCTGTCCTGTCTGTGGATTCATGATTCAGGATGATCAAGAAAAGGTAACCATTATAAATTTTTCTCTAATTCTTACACGATTTATCCTTTTCCTGACATGTTGATGATTTTTTTTATTTAATCAACATGTAGGTAGTTTGAACTAAGATCTTCATTGGACAATATTCAATTATGATGTCAAATTTTCTTGCTTTCTTCTGAATTTCCTATTGTGACAGCATGAAAGAAGTCTACCATGCCTGATGACCTCACATAGAAAGAACACATCTTTTTGCAGATCATTTAAAAAGAAGGAATAAGTTAGCCTGCATATTGTTTAAAAATTATTAAAGAAACAGATTCCACCACCGAATCTCGTGTAATACATAATACCTCCTCCATGGTCGAATGGTAGCATGTTCGCTCAACTGCGGGAGTTTGAGGATTTGTTCCCTGACAAGGTCAAACCAAAGACTTCAAAATTGGTATTTATTTGTTGCTTTAACGACAAGCAAGCAGCATTAAGTAGTAAGAGCAAAGACTGGTTGGCTTGGGAGTCAGAATAATGAGTTAAAAAGCTAGCTCAGCATGTAGGTCGAGTACACAGCAGGGTTCATATTAATATTTCATTAACATGTTCTTGTCTGGAATATGCATATTAATTTTCATATTTCAATCAAGATTAAATTGAAACCAAGACAAGTGTCACAAATTATGTAATCATTATAAATGGTATGTTGCTACTAATTGGAAGTTTGAACCATACCTGTTGTGACAAGAAGTTTTTTCTTTAATTGTAGGAAAAATGTGGGCTGTGCAAAAGAAGTTTTCATAAGACACCATTTTGCATGGGAGACCAACACTATTTACAAGCAGATAGATTTGAATGCAGACAATGCCTTGTCAATACCTGGACAAAGGTATACTTTCTATGTACAATGTCCTAATGTCATGGATAACCTAGAGAGCTGAAAGTTGTAGGTTCAAACCCAGGCATGGTATAAAAAATGAAATTGGTGTTTGTTGCTCCTTCACTAAGCAAACTAGGCATTTAGAAGTAAGAGCGAAAATAGGTGCATTCGATGTCAATTAATGAGGTTTATCCACAGTGATATGTCTTCTTGCAGACAGTTAAATTTTAAATTTGCATGATAAAAAGTTCAGCTCTTAATGTTGATCTATTACAAAGTACATTTCATATTCATTTTCAAATCACCTTAACATTTGATTGTACACGTATATATGTAATATCTGCCACTGCACTATAAACACTAAACCGTCCATCCATTTTTGCAAATCTGTTGTAGAGGTGTCACTGGTTCAGATGTACTTATAATTTATAATTTTTTCTGTGACTGCATCATATATTAATTTGAAAGATTCTCTATGGTAGATAATTCAGCTGATCTGTAATGTTCAATCTTCATGCCTTATATATCATGTACTGTGTTACGATACTTGATAAAAATTGAGCGGGAAAGATACCACCCGGCCACTGAAAGCTTGATTTCATTGAGCCCTGGTGGCCGAGTGATCTAGTTTGCTGGGCATATTGCAAGGCAATTTTGTGCCATGATATCTCAGTAGCATAAGTTTGAATCTTACATTGTTGGGCTGTTATTTAGACGAATGATATATATTATTTTTTCTTATTTCATTTAGGAAAATAGCTGCCAAAATGCCTTGAAAAGTGGAAAACGGAAATCAGAACAGAATCTGACAGCAGGTGCAATATCAATTAGTCATATAGTAACACTTTGAAAATAGTTTGTTTCAAGAAATTGTGTTTTCAAATTATTTGTGAACCTTTTGAAGATTTGTTTTAATAGAAACAGCAGCTATAAAACAAGAAGGATTTCAGCAACATTTTTAACAGTTTTTAATAACATCCTATGAAGATAAAACAGAAGAAAAATAAAACTCTTCCAATTTTTTTAATCAACACAAAATTTCATTTCTTTGAACAGGCATTAATTCTTACTTTTTTATATTAAAATCTGAAATTAATCTAATGTTGGAACATTAATATACTTTTATCAGATATCTTGAACTTCCTCCAGTTGACTAAGATCATGTTTTTAATCATTTATTTATTAGAAGTCACAATGGATAAAATTAGTAAACAAGACCAGAAATCACCGATTGAAGTATGTTTAGATATTCTTCAAAGTAATGTAAGTAAATATGATAAAGAACAGTTTTACAATGGCATGTTTTTGTTCCTTTAGTGTTTTATATTTTATCAATAATCATATGAACTATTATGAGTTGCTGATTAGATTCACAAATGACATTTAAAATATTTATGCAGTGGGAAATCTAGTGACAAAATATTACCTCCCCTGTAAACATTGAAAACAAAATCTTTTCAATGTTTGTCTAATCTTAGCAAATATGCAATCAATTAAAAATTTACTAGAAAACCATCTGGTAAATATTAAGAATAGAAATAACTTGAAATAAAAACAAAACTTACATTTTATGTTATCATTTCCCCCCTTGAATAGAAAACAACAAGTACACCAGGCTAAAGGAGCTTGGTGTAAAATTGGTTTAAAATGTTGCTATGCGAATAAATTCCTGGAGAACTAACTTCAATTATTTTTTTTGCTTGCTTTTATTTCTTCCATTTTTTTTTATCAAAATGCAGCAAACATTATAATTTTTAGATTTTAGTTTTAGTTTCCAAAGCTTCTAATGAAATTATCTCGTAAATACTGAATATAAAACATTGTATATTTGCAAGTATATTTCTTATAGCACAGTTTAACAAATACTTTTATTATTTAAAATGTCAATTGTTATTTAGAAATAACTTTTGATCACCAACATTGTTTTATTATTGATTTTTCTCAACTATCATATGAAGATGTAATTTTTTTTGGGTCTTTTTCACTAGATTTCCCACTGTATGTTGCAAAGCTGACATTAATTAATATGTTATTGTTATATATGTAGATAGAAAAATGTCTATTTGCTATGTAGACAGTTCCATACTTGACCAGACTTGACCTTGTCATTAATATACCCTCTGCTGAAGGAGTAGTTATCAATGAACACATACGACTATGTAGAAATTCATTTTCATGTATATTCAGAAATCAATGCAACGTTTTTATAAATGTGAAAATGCCAATGTATCAAGTTCACAAGAAAAAGAACTCATATTCATAATTTCAGTAGTAATTTTTAATATAATTTCATATTAATAACAAAATATTGAAGCGTTAAATATTCTAGTAACTTCATTACACCTTTGTAGGGTTTTCATGAAGATGCATGCACTACCTTCATTCACAACATATCAAGCATTGATTGGCACATAAGCTGGGATTCTATTGTTGATATATTTGCCAAAGTGAGGACATGTGTGCCAGAGGTTGCTGACAATATTATCACCTGCTCAAAATCTAGATCTCTAGGTCATTTTGGAGATGGGTAATTAATTACTATAGTTATTCTTTATACAACAGAAGAGAATAACCAACACCTTAGGAGGGAGTCAGTTTGCTGAATGTTTGAGTTTGGGTCGCAATTCAAAAATAAAAATAAAGAAAGAATTAAAATCTACTGTTTGATCATGTTAATAAAACATAACCATACAGAAATATATGTCTCAATTTCAGGAAGATATTATAATTGTCTTTTCTTTCATGTAAAACATTCTATTCTTTCCCTATTCTTAAAAATAAGTTTTAATTAGGATATTAATTAAAAACAATTGCATACAAACAGTAATTTAATGAATTCGGAACATACCTATAAAATCATTAAAAAAGATACGTATTAACAGATAATTAGAAAAGAGTTTTGCTCTGTTGAATCTTTACAGTACTATTTCTTAAATAAAGCTGCTTTATATGCATAGAGATTCATATCATTTCAGATATATAGACTGCATTCCGATGAAGTTCAAAAGGGATCACATTTTTCCTGCCGACGTGGAAGGAAGTGGCACATGGACCTTATTTAGATCTGTGTCCATTTTTTTCTATGGTGATGAAGCACATATGCAATTTGCAAGGCTTCTTACCATCTGCAATGAGATTATAGAATTAGGAAAGGTTAGTTTATACTAGTGGGCTATATTTATACTTCTACAGAAGCACTTGATTTGCATAAATCAGTTCTGCCTCATGATATGGTAAAGCAGAAAAAAATGGGAGATAACTCAACTTGTTGAATTCATTTCAATGAGTTCACAGGATATTCTTGTAATATTAGGTAATGCTTATTAATATATCTGTGTTTTTCTTAGTAACATGATGGTGCTTTAAAGTTATCATTACTGTAAATTCAGAAATTATTGCGATTTTGTCATTTTAGACTTAAATGCGATTTTAATTTTTACTATGTTGAGAAAAATCATGTTTAATTCATATAAAATATTTCAAAATGCGAGTTTAAATTATTGCGTTTACAACTCTGTCGCATTTTTCGCAATAATAAAAACCTCGCAATAATTTCTGAATTTACAGTATTTAAAAAACTCGATTCAGAGCATGAGCAATACATATCCTGCCTTCTTCTTTAAAAAAAACTTAAACTACAGAGGAGCATAACAATTTTCTGAAAACAATTGCTTTTCTTTCAAAGATTCCTGCCAACATGCTTTTCTTTCAAAGATTCCTGCCAACATAAATGATTATGGCTGTCATATTATACAAAACATTTCAACATTTTTGCATACAGAAATCTTTCAGCTATTGATGTGGTTTGTTTGGTGCTTTTTCTTTAACACCTGGTTTACTTAAAGTTGTATATCATTCTTTAAATATTAGGGCTGTGATTCAGATGACCACCAAAAGGATCTAATTCTAGAGGAGATGAAGAAAGAGTTTGACTCCCCTTGTTGTGACATGGAAGATAAATTGAGTAAAGCGCTTTATTAAGTCTCCCAAACGAAGTTTGGGAAGACTTATTGTTTTTGCTCAGTTCTTATTATTATTATTATTCTTCTTCTTCTTCTTCTTCTTCTTCTTCCGCCGCTTTTAAATTTGAACTTGTCCGCACCCGTTCTCCAAAACCGCTTGTCAGATTAACTTAGGGTTTCACAATATGTTAGACTAACATGTCTAGTGGTGCAATCAGGGTTTTGTTTGTGCAATGGGGTTTATAAAGGGGTACTTTGAGGGGCAAAAAGAAAAGAGGGTTTTACTATAGAACCCTATGGGATTTTATTTTTTAAAATTTTCAAATGATTATAAATTGAAAACCGTTTGTGATAGACACAATCTTTTTAATTGAAAATGTTCTTAATGATAAAGCCAATTAAATGAAATACAGGGTAAGTCCCCAGGGGTCACCCCCACCCCCTGCCATTTAAGAAAGTTCTAATACCTTGTAAGTGGTCAAGATCCCCACCCCTAAACCATATATATTTTGGTTTGTCATGCTAAGATGGTTTGAATGATATACAGGGTTAGTCCCCAGGGGTCATCCCGACCCCCTGCCATTTGAGAAAGTTCTAATATCTTGTAAATGGTCGAGATCCCCACCCCTAAACCATATATATTCTGGTTTGTCATGATAAAGCACATCAAATGAAATACAGGGTTAGTCCCCAGGGGTCACCCCCACCCCCTGCCATTTAAGAAAGTTCTAATATCTTCTAAATGGTCAAGATCCCCACCCCTAAACCATATATATTCTGGTTTGTCATGCTAAGATGGTTCGAATGATATACAGGGTTAGTCCCCAGGGGTCATCCCGACCCCCTGCCATTTGAGAAAGTTCTAATATCTTGTAAATGGTCGAGATCCCCACCCCTAAACCATATATATTCTGGTTTGTTATGATAAAGCACATCAAATGAAATACAGGGTTAGTCCCAAGGGGTCACCCCCACCCCCTGCCATTTAAGAAAGTTCTAATATCTTCTAAGTGGTAAAGATCCCCACCCCTAAACCATATATATTCTGGTTTGTCATGCGAAGATGGTTTGAATGATATACAGGGTTAGTCCCCAGGGGTCATCCCGACCCCCTGCCATTTGAGAAAGTTCTAATATCTTGTAAATGGTCGAGATCCCCACCCCTAAACCATATATATTCCTATTTGTCATGTCTTGAACATTTGAATGACGTATATGGTCAGTCCCCAGGGGTTTCCCCCACCCCCAATGTTCTAATATCTTGTAAATGGTTGAGATCCCCACCCCTAAACCATATATATTCCTGTTCGTCATGTAATGAACATTTGAATGACGTATAGGGCCAGTCCCCAGGGGTTCCTCCCTACCCCCCAATGTTCTAGTATCTTGTCAATGGTCGAGATCCCCACCCCTAAACCATATATATTCTGGTTTGCCATGCCAAGATGATTTGAATGATATACAGGGTTAGTCCCCAGGCATCATTAATGCATATAACTTTACTGGACCAAACCAATTTTCACTGGACTTTGCCCAATGTCAGGCGACCCTGGGAATTACGAATATATGGGAGCTTAGTTTTGGAGACTTCGTAACAGCATCCTGTTACAATCATTTCTTGTTTATTTAATGATAATTTATTTTTTTACAATGATGATTATTTTTATAACTCAAAATAATATAACCATTTGATTTGCATATTTGGAAATTGAGAATAATTATCATGATTTCAAGGAAAACTGTATAGACATAATATTTTTAAAATTCAAGATGCAAGTTTTTAAAGTGCCACGGCTGTCCCATCCCATTATAATAATAAATAATCTGAAATATTTCTGAATTTACAGTATGCTTCACATAATAGTATAGGTATATACTCATGTACACTTAAAGTCCTATGTCTTCGATTATTTCACTTTATTAATATATGTATCAGGATATTTTCAATTTCAGCTATGTTATTAATTGTAATATATTTGTACAATCAATAATTTGTAAATATTAAGAATTTATTTGAATATTTTCCAGCTGTATATCACCTGATGCATATACCTAATGCAATGAATCTAGATATAAAAATACACAAGGAAGGAGCATCAGATTCTTATCAAGGCCAAAACTGCAGAAGATCAATAAGCATTTTGGCTCTTCAAAAAGAAGGAGATAGATGTCTATCCTTTCTCCCTTTAATGGAAGGAATTTTCCTGAAAGACAGAAATATTTTCGACAGAGATAACTGTGGTGCAGGCGTTTTGTTGTCAAGGAAATTCAGATTTAAAAAAGTGCATAAAATGTTTCCAGATGTATCATTCATGTTGCATTATATCTCATGAGGAAGCATTTGTATGTGGATGTCATATCCGACGACCGTATCATCCAAAAAAGTACGTAAAATATTGTGATTGAATAAACTATTGACACATTTCATTAGTCTATTTATATTAATTAGATAAGTATTAGGATCAGGGTCAGAAGTCTGGTCTATAAAGGGTCATTTATTAACTAGCCTTTTAAACAGAAAAATGGTTAAATTCCTCATTGAATACACCTATCGCTAATTGTTCGTCATTACTGAACATCACATATGTTCCATTTAAATTTGACATCAGAATAGAATATGTCTGATGCCACAAAGAAAAGTGATTGTAGAATGACCTCAATAGTGCAAGTGTCACAGATTCTCAAATAGCGATAAGGTCTATAGTTTTACTAAACACAATAATCTCTAGAAATCTTCCTTCACTTGATAAATGAAAAAAAAAACAGAATTAAAAACCTAAGAAAATCAATTTTATGCAATATGACCTTATGAAAGTATATTTTTCCACTCTGTGACATATTATTGTTCATTTAGTAAGTCATGTACTTGCGTTATTTAACGTGTGTATATCTAGGGGAATTGTTGGATTTGAAAATCCTGCATATAATGGATTATTTACTTGATGATGTTTATTTTCTAGCCTCAATATTTACAAGGATGATGTGAGGTTCATTGAAACTCTGGATATGGTAGATATAAAGGTATGTATTAGTCATGGTTATACAATTTGAAACTTTTATTACTCAAAAACTGCTAATTGTAAGTACACACTTTTTGCGCAGAGTTTAGTTTCATTATAATTTTTTTTAAATTCATTGATATTTTCCCCTGGTGTCACATGTTTTTGAAATAGTTCCTGAACTAGATTCCAATGAGATAGAAGCATCAGAAGAACACATCCCTAAATATCTTGTTTCTCTCTAAGCTGTTGTTATATTGAAAATTATATAAATGCAAATAGCTAAACAATGACTGTATAAAAAGACATATTAATAGAATCTGTCATGATATTTCAGTATTAGACCCTTTAAAGCTTCAAAGAAGTTATAGTAGTAAGCATTTTTTAAAGGCTTTGTTCTGTATTTTAAACGTATTTCAAATTTGAATATAAACATTATGACATTTGACATTTTAAAGAACAATCACAATTTATCAGTCAGTCTTTGATCAAAATATTTTTTTTTCAGAAATTATGTAATAACATTAGAACAACAGAGTTGCCTTCGTTTCGTTGGAATGTTTTCAGACAGTACAATTCAAAGAAAAGAAAAGATGTGAAAATGTTGAATTGTGTTCAGTTCATTCCTTCTGAAAAAATAGTAAGTAAAGATTTAAAACTACAGGTAACAAACTAAATATCATTTGCATTAAAAATTGCATCAAAATGTTTTGATTAACATTTAGAAGTCAACCAACTTCAAACATTACCATGCACTGTTAGATATCATTTGTAGTACCAAGCATAACATTTTTCATTTTTTTCCATATCATTCAAGAGACGGGAAAAAATAGATATGTTCATTTGATACTAATTCTTTTATTTTTATGTTATTAGTATATTGAACTGAGGAATAAGATCAGCAGTATAGGGGCTGTAAAAGAAAATGATGAGAAGCTTCTTGATGTCTTTTTACCAGAGGTTTGTTTGAAATTATTTTCATTGACTTTGAAACCTTTACATAGTTACAAACTTACAATTTGATGGTAAAGCAATCTTTTTTTAAACAGTGAAAAAATATTTTGTTTAATATGACTTCAGAAAAGTGGTATACTACTGTTGTCTTTATTTAGATTACATTGTGCCAAATACAATTTATTTCATATTGAATACCTTTCAAAACTACTACAATAACACATTTAATTTATATTTTTACTAGGTGATGGTAAGCTTTGTTATGATGGTGGAAGGTCTGAACAGATTTCAATCTGAGCTATTCTTGCGTACAGATATTCACAAATTGATACAATATAGTAGTGAATGAGTGTACAAAAGGATAATTGAAGAAAAAAACAAGTCAATTTAGTTTTGTTGATTTTCCGATGTTTTCTTATATAGAACAAATATTGTGAGATAAAATATATTATATTAAATTATTGGTTAATTTTGCTTGTATAAACATGGTTGTCATTACCGAAGTGTGAATTATGGGCTTTGTCTTAAGCTTGTCCATATTATTAACAATAGTGTCTTGAAAACCTATATTTTATCTTTTTGACTTTTGCTAGTTCAAAGTATGTCAGCATCAAGTTATTGAAATGTTGGGGTAATTATGAACTTATGGTGCACAACATGTGTATTGAAAAACTGTTATAATTACTTTTATGGCGAATTAGGGAGATGTCCAAAAAATAAGTGTTATTGGTTGTATTTTATTAGAAATGAACTGTTTGTTATAGGTTTAAGTGATGGACGGTACAGCCGAAAACAACTTGCCAGATGTATATTTTGCTTTCATAAAGCATTGTTTATATGATTGTCTAAAACTTAATGCTCAGTTTCATACTTCTTCAAAATGATATGATTAGATATATGTTGGAAATTTTTTGTCTGCAATTTTATTACTTTGCTGGTTCCAGGTATAAGAGTCAATTTATTGAAATTGTGAACCTGAAAAACTTTTATTTTACTAAATGGTGAATAAGAGAGATGTCTAAATAATTATTTATGCAAACCAAATTCAATGTTTACAAAACATGTATTGCGAAAGTAAGATTTAGTCGCTACAACTTAACTATAGAAAATAAGATTTTATTGTATAACAAGAAATAATAGAATATGTATATCTTTTTATAATGATATAGAGGATGAGTATCAGTTCATCCTCAAATGCCAAGTTTTTCAAGGTTTTTTAAAACTTTATTAGAAGGCATAGTATTGGAAAAAAACCTTGAGGTACAAATTTATTAACAACATGTTTTTACTTTTACAAATTGTGACTTGGTTTGAGAGTTGTCTCATTGGCACCAGTACCACTTCTTCGTATATCATATGTTATAAATATAATTGTATTCTCTTACAAAGCATAAGCATAGTGAATACATTCTCATATCCATATGTGTTAGAGTATGAGAGTTTTTTTTTAAATGAGACATTTTCTCCTGTTCTGCAGGAATATTGGACTTAAGCATGGACGAACTTTAATATTTTTCAAATTGAACAATACATTTTGTTGAAATTGGTAGATAATGACTTATCAATGAGCTCATGATGATGCAACAATTTTTTTATATATTTTTAGATTACAGTGGTAGACAGTCATTTAATGTGATGTTGTGGTCATAGCATAATGCATATTTATCAAATATTTTTTTTCTTTATAAGCATGCAATAGTAAATGAATTGTTATGTCCATATTGTTTTCTATAGTTACAGTTATTACTGTGGAATTATTAATTTTCATGTTTTTAAATTGTGAACTTTTTCAAGAATCCTCATTTTGGTAACCATGTTCCTATCTAAACGTATGAAAACTTGTTTTTACTTGATGACATACATGTTTGATTTGTCTCTAATCAGATAATCCACAATAGATAGCATTCAAAAGCTTATAATAAACATTGACACATCAAGTAGTAGTTTGATTTATTGCTGTTTTTATGGGATTCAAAAAAAAAATGATGTTATAGAGTGTTCATATATGTATTCATGCACTTAAACTTCCATTGCCCAAAGCATACTAGTATTCAAAATTTTCTGTTTTCAATACAAGAATATCTGCCAAAAGTTTGATGCATGAATTAATGAATGTATACTAAAATTGAGAATGGAAATGGGGAATGCGTCAAAGATACAGCAACCTGACCAAAGAACCCAAAAAAATTTCAGAATTCATCAAGGGATAATAATTCCTCAAGCCTGTTTGTTACAATAAGATACTTTTTAAGCATTCAGTGTTTCATCTCATGGCACATGTCTTTGTGCATGGTATTGTGAAATATTTATGAAAATGACAAATTGCCAAAAACTTTGCCACATTCATTTTTTAGATACCTTTTTAAAAATTATGACAAGCATTTTAACATGACCAGAGGGGACAACACTTTATGATCATTTTAAATTAATCAGGTTTTGACAGTAAGTATATACAATATATATATACCCCATACAGCAAAGTTAGATCTCTGCCTACCTTTGTGTGATCTGATGTTGTGTTAATCCGTTATATACCCCATACGGCAATGTCTGATCTCTGCCTACCTTTGAATGATCTGATATCGTGATTTACCAATTATATACCCCATACAGCAATGTCTGATCTCTGCCTACCTTTGGGTGATCTGATGTTTTGTTTTACCAGTTATATACCCCGTACACCAATGTCTGATCTCTGCCTACCTTTGCGTGATTTGATGTTGTGTTTTACCAGTTATATACCTGTACAGCAATGTTTGATCTCTGCCTACCTTTGCGTGATCTGATGTTGTGATTTACCAGTTAATACCCCGTACAGCAATGTCTGATCTCTGCCTACCTTTGCGTGCTCTGATATTGTGTTTTACCAGTTATATACCCCGTACAGCAATGTCTGATCTCCACCTACCTTTGCGTGATCTGATATTGTGATTTATCAGTCATATACCCCGTACAGCAATGTCTGATCTCTGCCTACCTTTGTGTGATCTGATGTTGTGTTTTACCAGTTATATACCTGTACAGCAATGTTTGATCTCCACCTACCTTTGCGTGATCTGATATTGTGATTTACCAGTCATATACCCCATACAGCAATGTCTGATCTCTGCCTACCTTTGCGTGATCTGATGTTGTGATTTACCAGTTAATACCCCGTACAGCAATGTCTGATCTCTGCCTACCTTTGCGTGCTCTGATATTGTAATTTACCAGTCATATACCCCGTACAGCAATGTCTGATCTCTGCCTACTTTTGCGTGATCTGATGTTGTGATTTACCAGTTAATACCCCGTACAGCAATGTCTGATCTCTGCCTGCCTTTGCGTGATCTGATGTTGTGATTTACCAGTTAATACCCCGTACAGCAATGTCTGATCTCTGCCTACCTTTGCGTGCTCTGATATTGTGATTTACCAGTTATATACCCCGTACAGCAATGTCTGATCTCCACCTACCTTTGCGTGATCTGATATTGTGATTTATCAGTCATATACCCCGTACAGCAATGTCTGATCTCTGCCTACCTTTGTGTGATCTTATGTTGTGTTTTACCAGTTATATACCTGTACAGCAATGTTTGATCTCTGCCTACCTTTCCGTGTTCTGATGTTGTGATTTACCAGTTTATACCCCGTACAGCAATGTCTGATCTCTGCCTACCTTTGCGTGCTCTGATATTGTAATTTACCAGTCATATACCCCGTACAGCAATGTCTGATCTCCACCTACCTTTGCGTGATCTGATGTTGTGATTTACCAGTGATATACCCCGTACAGCAATGTCTGATCTCTGCCTACCTTTGTGTGATCTGATGTTGTGTTTTACCAGTTATATACCTGTACAGCAATGTTTGATCTCCACCTACCTTTGCGTGATCTGATATTGTGATTTACCAGTTATATATCCCGTACAGCAATGTCTGATCTCTGCCTACCTTTGCGTGATCTGATGTTGTGATTTACCAGTTAATACCCCGTACAGCAATGTCTGATCTCTGCCAACCTTTGCGTGATCTGATATTGTGATTTACCAGTCATATACCCCGTACAGCAATGTCTGATCTCTGCCTACCTTTGCGTGATCTGATGTTGTGATTTACCAGTTAATACCCCGTACAGCAATGTCTGATCTCTGCCAACCTTTGCGTGCTCTGATATTGTGATTTACCAGTCATATACCCCGTACAGTAATGTCTGATCTCCACCTACCTTTGCGTGATCTGATATTGTGATTTATCAGTCATATACCCCGTACAGCAATGTCTGATCTCTGCCTACCTTTGTGTGATCTGATGTTGTGTTTTACCAGTTATATACCTGTACAGCAATGTTTGATCTCCACCTACCTTTGCGTGATCTGATATTGTGATTTACCAGTTATATACCCCGTACAGCAATGTCTGATCTCTGCCAACCTTTGCGTGATCTGATGTTGTGATTTACCAGTTATATACCCCATACAGCAATGTCTGATCTCTGCCTACCTTTGCGTGATCTGATGTTGTGATTTACCAGTTAATACCCCGTACAGCAATGTCTGATCTCTGCCTACCTTTGCGTGATCTGATGTTGTGATTTACCAGTTAATACCCCGTACAGCAATGTCTGATCTCTGCCTACCTTTGCGTGCTCTGATATTGTGATTTACCAGTTATATACCCCGTACAGCAATGTCTGATCTTCACCTACCTTTGCGTGATCTGATATTGTGATTTATCAGTCATATACCCCGTACAGCAATGTCTGATCTCTGCCTACCTTTGTGTGATCTGATGTTGTGTTTTACCAGTTATATACCTGTACAGCAATCTTTGATCTCCACCTAAATTTTCCGTGATCTGATATTGTGATTTACCAGTCATATACCCCGTACAGCAATGTCTGATCTCTGCCTACCTTTGCGTGCTCTGATATTGTGATTTACCAGTTATATACCCCGTACAGCAATGTCTGATCTCTGCCAACCTTTGCGTGATCTGATGTTGTGATTTACCAGTTATATACCCCATACAGCAATGTCTGATCTCTGCCTACCTTTGCGTGATCTGATGTTGTGATTTACCAGTTAATACCCCGTACAGCAATGTCTGATCTTTGCCTACCTTTGCGTGATCTGATGTTGTGATTTACCAGTTAATACCCCGTACAGCAATGTCTGATCTCTGCCTACCTTTGCGTGCTCTGATATTGTGATTTACCAGTTATATACCCCGTACAGCAATGTCTGATCTTCACCTACCTTTGCGTGATCTGATATTGTGATTTATCAGTCATATACCCCGTACAGCAATGTCTGATCTCTGCCTACCTTTGTGTGATCTGATGTTGTGTTTTACCAGTTATATACCTGTACAGCAATCTTTGATCTCCACCTAAATTTTGCGTGATCTGATATTGTGATTTACCAGTCATATACCCCGTACAGCAATGTCTGATCTCTGCCTACCTTTGCGTGCTCTGATATTGTGATTTACCAGTTATATACCCCGTACAGCAATGTCTGATCTCTGCCAACCTTTGCGTGATCTGATGTTGTGATTTACCAGTTATATACCCCGTACAGCAATGTCTGATTGCTTACCTTTGCGTGATCTGATCTTGTGATTTACCAGTTATATACCCCGTACAGCAATGTCTGATCTCTGCCTACCTTTGCGTGCTCTGATATTGAGAATTACCATTTATATACCCCTTACAGCAATGTCTGATCTCTGCCTACCTTTGGGTGATCTGATATGTTGATTTACCAGTTATATACCCCGTACAGCAATGTCTGATCTCTGCCAACCTTTGCGTGATCTGATGTTGTGATTTACCAGTTATATACCCCGTACAGCAATGTCTGATCTACCTACCTTTGCGTGCTCTGATATTGTGAATTACCATTTATATACCCCGTACAGCAATGTCTGATCTCTGCCAACCTTTGCGTGATCTGATGTTGTGATTTACCAGTTATATACCCCGTACAGCAATGTCTGATCTCTGCCTACCTTTGCGTGATCTGATGTTGTGATTTACCAGTTAATACCCCGTACAGCAATGTCTGATCTCTGCCTACCTTTGCGTGATCTGATGTTGTGATTTACCAGTTAATACCCCGTACAGCAATGTCTGATCTCTGCCTACCTTTGCGTGCTCTGATATTGTGATTTACCAGTTGTATACCCCGTACAGCAATGTCTGATCTCCACCTACCTTTGCGTGATCTGATATTGTGATTTATCAGTCATATACCCCGTACAGCAATGTCTGATCTCTGCCTACCTTTGTGTGATCTGATGTTGTGTTTTACCAGTTATATACCTGTACAGCAATCTTTGATCTCCACCTACCTTTGCGTGATCTGATATTGTGATTTACCAGTCATATACCCCGTACAGCAATGTCTGATCTCTGCATACCTTTGCGTGCTCTGATGTTGTGATTTACCAGTTATATACCCCGTACAGCAATGTCTGATCTCTGCCATCCTTTGCGTGATCTGATGTTGTGATTTACCAGTTATATACCCCGTACAGCAATGTCTGATCTCTGCCCACCTTTGCGTGCTCTGATATTGTGAATTACCATTTATATACCCCATACAGCAATGTCTGATCTCTGCCTACCTTTGGGTGATCTGATATTGTGATTTACCAGTTATATACCCCGTACAGCAATGTCTGATCTCTGCCTACCTTTGTGTGATCTGATGTTGTGTTTTACCAGTTATATACCTGTACAGCAATGTTTGATCTCCACCTGCCTTTGCGTGATCTGATATTGTGATTTACCAGTCATATACCCCGTACAGCAATGTCTGATCTCTGCCTACCTTTGCGTGCTATTATATTGTGATTTACCAGTTATATACCCCGTACAGCAATGTCTGATCTCTGCCAACCTTTGCGTGATCTGATGTTGTGATTTACCAGTTATATACCCC